TAAACCGCTTAGAGAGGGCTGAAAGCCCTATGAAGCGGTATATAAGTCTAACTGCTATTGCTATTGCTATACCTGTTTTTTTTGGGGGGGGGGGCTTTTTTGGGCCATTTTCCAGGCCTGAAAGAGAGAGAATGAAAGGAATACAGAAAGAGATAGAGAAAGGGAGCTGGAGATAGAGAGAGATAAAAGATATAGAGAAGGAGAAAGATAGAGAAGGAAAGGAATAGAGAAAGCTAGAAATGAAGAAAGAGATGAAAGAAAGAAAAAGAAAGAAAGAAAGAAAGAAAGAAAGAAAGAAAGAAAGAAAGAAAGAAAGAAAGAAAGAAAGAAAGAAAGAGGAAGAATAGAATGGAATAGAATAACCGAGTTGGAAGGGACCTTGGAGGTCCTCTAGTCCAACCCCCTGCTCAGGCAGGAAACCCTCCCACCACTTCAGTCAAATGGCTGTCCAATCTCTTCTTAAAAACTTTCAGTGTTGGAACATTCACAGCTTCTGGAGGCCAGTTGTTCCACTGATTCATTGTTCTCACGGAGAAAGAGAAGGAAAAGAGGGCGCCATAGGTTTGTTTATTTATTAAATATATTTATTTTATTTATTATTAAATATATTTATATGCCGCCCAATCCCTTTTATTTGCCATCAGGACCCTAGAACTTTGCAGATCAACTGCCTCTGCTTGTGGAGGTTCCATTTTTAACCCTTGAGGATCAATAACTTTGCAGCCTGTCTCCTTTCTCACCCCCCCCTTCCCCACCCCCCACCAAGCAATGAGGAAAAATGAAAGCAACGGAGTGCAGGGAGGCAGCAGTTCCACCGTCTTCAGAAACCAACCGCACAACCTGTGCGTTGCCTGCAGCTTTTCGGTTGTGTTATTTTGCCGATGGTCGCTTCTGAGATGTTTAAAAAGTGGCTGTTGAGACAGTCCGTTCCTTGCCTGCCTGCGAGCTTAGCTCTCCTGGGTTTCGGGAAGCACCGGCTCTTAGGTGCTGAGAATTGAGCCTGGACCAGCCTCCAAGAATGCTAGTCCTCAGGTTTCTGACAAAAGGACTCCTTTGAGGCCAAGCCCAAAAGGTGTGGTGGTGTGATGTTATCTCTGGACTTGTTGCCTTGTTTGTGGTGGTGTGGGTGTCACGTTCCGGCGTTCACGTTGCATACAAACAGAGATTCAGTTTGTTTGGTGGAAAACTTTTATCTCTATCTAAGAAACTACGGTTCACCGACAAAAGGGCAACCGACAAAAACGCGGCCAACTAAACCGCGGTGACAAAACCGTGAGTTCTAAAGCGCTCCAACGAATGAGCGCTGAATCGCGCCAACAACAGCGCGGCGACAGAAGGGCACTGTGAACCTAAACCTAACCCTAAACCTAACCCTTACATTAACTTAAATCGCTCTTCTGTCGATGCGCTGTTGTGAATCGCCCTTCTGTCGCCACGTTGTCGGCGCGTTGATGACGTCGCGGTTTTAGTGACGTTTTGTTGGCGCGCTTTTGTCAGGTCACAAGAAACTACATGATAACCAGCACTGAATGACAATGATACAAAGGTAATCAAATCCAAGTCAGTTCTAACCAAGTTACCACCATCACCCATATATATATATGTATATATGTATATATGTATATGTGTGTGTATGTATATGTGTGTGTATGTATGTATGTATATATGTGTGTGTGTGTATATATATATATATATATATATATATATATATATATAT